GTCATGAACTGGGTAGTTCTTCTCTGCAGCTTTGAGCTGTCAAGATTCGAACGCGATCGCCCGATCTCGCCCTTCGGCGTCCGCTTGAAGCAGTGCACAGTCGGTGGCAAAGTCCGAAGCGTCACAGACGAGGCTGAAAGGTCAATCAAGGTCTGGCAGCGCCAGTATTGGTGCATGCAGGAGGCTGTCTTTGACTCCATCAAAAGCCACCTGAAGTTCGGTGTCCCTTCCGCATCCTTTTTAAGAAGGTTGGATAATGGCCGGGCCATTTCTGCGTAATTTACGCAGTACTTGTGCAAGTAATCGGAGAGACCAAGCCACTTACGCAAGTCCTTCTGGTTCTTTGGAACCGGACAATCTACAATAGCCTTGACCTTAGTGGAATCCGCTCGAATGCCACGCTTCCCAATGAAGCACCTTAAAAAGGGAATATCTTCTGCGCCAAAGATGCACTTGTCTGCATTGGTGTGCAGTTTGTTCGTGCGCATGCACTCGAGCACCGCTCTTAGATGGACGATGTGGTTCTCCTCATCCGTCTTCCCGTGCACAGCACGACTGTGAACGAAACTGTCGTCAAAGTATGTCTGTGCATACGCCCAGTGGGGCCTGAAAAACTGCGTCACTAGACGATTAAATTATGCTGGTGCATTTGACACCCCTTGGAGCATCACCAGCCACTCCCAGAGCATGCCGTTCGAAGTGCTCATCGCTGTCAGCGGAATATTGCTCGTTTTTATATGCAATTGGTATTTCCCATCGGCCAAGTAGAGTGCAAAGAACTTCGTATAGCCCACCATGTTGTTCTGAAAAATATCCTTTCTAGGAACTGGTGTCTGTGCCGGAATGGTGGCAGCGTTGAGCTTATTGTAAGCATGAACGATACGCCACTTGCCATTCGGCTTACGAACACAAAACGTGGGTGACAATGGGGAGACCTGCTCTCACGCACCATTCCTGCGTCGTGCTTCGCACGGAAGAAGGCGTCAATGACGTCACACTGCTCCTTGGGAAGGGGCCGTTGGAGTGTTATGCAGTATTTGGTTCCTGGAACCAGGTCAATCTCATGACGCGCACCTCGGTACGGAGGTAGGACCGAAGGCGGGTCTTTGATACGACATCTTGATATTCCTTTACCAAAGGATAC